TCATAGTTGCGTGCCATATAACCATACCGGCTTGATAATTTATTTGTATAAAAGTAATTTGTTATGTACAATCCGAATCGGTTTGACCTTCGCCCAGGTCGTATATGGGCATATGGTATGCAGACATCAAAAAGACTTATTGCTTGGCTAAGTGATTATTTGTTCGTGAAACTCACATGAACCGACTTGCTACCATTCAGTTTTATTCTCCATTTCTTGGTTCATTTAAACACGAAGTTGTGGAATTAGCGAAATTGGTCTATATGATGAAAATATATGAGGATCCTTTTCAGATTTCGGAAGCATAACAACTTCACCAACTTTCCAGAGAATTGGAAATGTGTCACACGGATTGATGAATTAAAAAGATAGGTGGGCTTTAGTAAACTTTTGTACGGTAACTGCTTTAAAACATCAAATGTAATTAGGGCGAATGCTGATGCTTTCTTAATTTTAAGCCTTTTAATTTAATTCATAAATGGACACTTCTGGAATTGGACGAAAAGTTTCAAATAGGTGTGTTGCGAATGTATTTGCTTTATCCTAATCACTTCTTGCCCATACATAAATGTTAATTTTCAATAGAGCAACGTGGCGTATTGGACGTTTAAGATATTTGGTACTTTTCCAAAGCGAGTTATCTTCTTGTTTTTAGCCGATAGCTGAGATCCTTGTGTATTGACTCATTTTTAATATGTGTGATTTCTCGTTTTAACTCCGCTGTTACTCTGTTAAGGTTTGTTTTGTCAAGTGATGAGAATGTTTGTTGCTATTTCCGTCGTAACTTTCTATTCCTGGTTAGGAAGATTTTTTTTGATTTACTTGTAGGGTAATTGTAACTTATAACTTTCCGCTTCATCTCCGGAGTATTATCCTAAACCGCTAGTTGAATTTCTTTTATGAATCTGTCAACTTCTAGCTATAGTTGTTTGATTGTTGTGATTTGTGGACAGTTTATTTATTTTATATAGCTTCAAATGTAGTTCTTTTTGAGTGACTGTTTCACTTAGTGTTAACTATATTGAGAACTGATCAAAGCTTAGATCTAGCGCCCCTTCTATTTCGATGAGATTTCGGAATACTTGCCTAGTAATAAATGATTCTATGACATCGGGTATTTTGTTGGAGTACGTTGTCCAATAAGTTGGAATTCCGGTCGATACAAACTCACATTCTGTTTCTGAGCCGCATCGAATAAATCTAGTCCTTTTGCTGTCGTTAGGCGCGTCCCCAGTAGACATGCTTCACATTAATAAATTTGTGGGTGTGCATGTTGAAAAGCTCTTAATATTCGTCAACGAGAATTTTATACCTCGGCAGAAAATATATTGCAGTAATTGATAAGGAGTTGGTTCATTGTTTTTACTGTAATAGTTGTGGTTTGAATATTGTGCGAATTGATATTTCCATCTTTATAATGTTTAACACTGTTTTTAACAATTGCTCTAGTACCTCCCCTCGTGGTTTTTGAAAGTAATGTAGATTGGCCTCGTAAAATGAGTTTCAGATATTAGACATACATATACATATGTATCTATTTTCTCTTTTTCAAAAATAATTTAAAGTTCTTCTTGGTGCTTTAATAATTCATTCGCGTTCCATGTCATAACCCGGAGAACACCATGCACACCTTAGATTTTGTTTTATTTTTACTTTTTTCGAGATTATCTAAACGGCTACAAAGATCGAAATTGAATTTTTTTTGTTTATTAAACATCTCAAGAATTTGAGTCAATAGGTCTTCATTCAATTTAGTGTTTTTTGCGTTAATTACTTTTGAGTACTTTTCACAACTTCGGAAAACTGAGCTTACTCGTTTGCACTCGATGCGGGTTGTTCGCATCATTTTTATTGACAGTGGGTGGATTATTTGATAATCTTTACAAATTCGTAGATATTTTTTGTTTCCTTAATGTTTTGTTACGAATGCTTTGAAGCTTCTTAGCGACAATACATTCTCCTCTCTAGTTTGCCGGATGGCTTTCGCCACAGTTTTAGCATTTTGGTTTTTCGGAAATTGGTTTTTGACACTCGACCGTTTTGTGCTTACCACTGCATTTAACGCATTTAACATTGACATATTGCTTCAAAAATTCTTGGTATGGTGAGTTTATATAATTGATATGAAAAATATAAGAAGGGCTCACTTCCTAAATGTTTTTTGCTTTGATTTCGAACAATGTCACACATTCCCAAAAATTATTGCGGAAAGTTTGATAATGTATCGTATTCCTAATGGCTAAATTTGTTGATGCAATTGTTTAATACAATAGCGACCGAAAGAGAAAGGTAAGAAAATGTTTAAATATTTTACTATTTTTCCAATACGACATGTTTTAAATTTTCATCAAAAAGAAGATCAACACCTAGGCGAAGCGGCGACAGCGTGGAAATATATCGACGAACTGGATAAAGTGTATGCGTCACGAATTGATATAATCGCACCGGAAGCTTATTTATCATCTGCATTGTCCCCACTTAACGAATAAAAATACAGAGTCAGATTCCTCAATCAGCAGTGAGAACATTGGTGCAGCTCCGCCACGAAAATGCGTTCGAAAGGTTTTTTAACAATGAAATAATTGCATGCGCTAATGAGAAATATTATTTTCAGATTGCAATTTTTACTTGTACTATAATAGAATGTATTTATTTTCCATTGTAGCAAATAAAACTATCCTTGGACGGCTGCAGGATTTTTATATGTATACCATCAATACATCCCAAAAAATATGGGATTGGTGTGATCGGAAAGACACAAAAGCTCCCGTAACTCTTACTTGGTTACTATGCTCAGTAGTTGGAAATGCTATAATCTGCTTCTGCGCAGATAATACCTGAACAAAACCTCTGTAACAAGTACTCATTCCAATATTAAAGCGATCGCTAACTTCTATATTGTCATATAAAGACACTTCTTCAATGGGTCTCCGAGACGCCCAGTAGGCAACTGTTACATGAAGGTTTGAGCATACAGGGTAATTTTGAAAGATGGAGTAATAATAATACCTTTCACATAACGAAATTACATTTCTTACCTCGTAAGTTGGGATGTGCATTCTGAAATAGCTATAAAACACGTCATTTGGCATTTGATTAATGGTTTCCAAAATTTTTTGATTATTTGGTATTTTTCTCTCGCACATTTTTCTGCACAAATATTGCAGCCAGGCTTTACTGTTTTGTAAAAGTACTTAAGTTATTGACTGTGAAATAAATTTTTTCACTTCAATTAAATTGACAAATTTTTCTAACAACATGGTTTCCTCGGCCATTTTTTGCGCAATAGAGATGTGCCTAAACGCAACAGTGTTATAAAGTTTATTTATAAAAGGTGTTTTTTTTTATAGGTATGAAACTTTAAATTGCAATAAAACAACGATGGATTATTCGATTGAAATACATTTTATTTATCCGAAAGATAACATTACATTTTAAATATGATTTCTGGCATATGAACGTCACGGCTGGCTCGGATGTAGACCAATATGGACGTCCAATTTTCGATGACTTTTTCCAACATTTGTGGCCGTACATCGGCAATAACACGGTGAATGTTGTCTTCCCAATGGCTAAGCATTTGTGGCTTATGCGCATAGACCATGACTTTACATAACCCCACAAAAAATAGTCTAGCGGTGTTAAATCACAAGATCTTGGAGGCCAATTCACAGGTCCAAAATGTGAAATTAGGCGGTCACCAAACGTGTCTTTCAATAAATCGATTGTGGCACGAGCTGTGTGACATGTTGCGTCGTCTTGTTGGAACCACAGCTCCTGGACATCATGGTTGTTCAATTTAGGAATGAAAAAGTTAGTAATCATGGCTCTATACCGATCAGCATTGACTGTAACGTTCTGGCCATCATCGTTTTTGAAGAAGTACGGACCAATGATTCCACCAGCGCACCAAACAGTCAGTTTTTCTGGATGTAACGGTGTTTCGACATACACTTGAAGACTAGCTCCACTCCAAATGTGGCAGTTTTGTTTGTTGACTGTTCAACCAGAAGCGCGCTTCATCGTATTATACGATAAAATGAACGTAGTGCGCGATGCGTATTCCGTACAAAACCATTATTTTCGAAATAAAACTGCTTGCCAAACCAAACTGAGAATAAATCACATTACAGCTGTTAAATCGGTCGCCATCTTGAACAGTAATGCGAACTTAAAGTTCTATACCTCGGAAAAAAACACCCGTACAAAGTTTAGAACTAGCAACGTTGCAAAGTATGAGTGCGTATTCATACTGCATAAAAGCTTTGCGTCTGGACTTTTAGGAAGTCAGCCAAGATAAGGTAATAAAAGATAATAAGATGTCGATGGGAATAACTCTCCGATATATTTATATATCGGCTCCTTTTTGTCCGCTTCGTCTGAGGGACCCGGTCGACCTGGCTCCCGTTTTTGTTGTAAAAAGGGCTTATCTTCATTTGTTTTACATAATTGAAGCGTATCGGCGTAAGAAAATACTAACAAATTGGGTCCCTAGGGTTTTTTGTGCAAATCTCTCCAAATTTGAGATAAATTCACAAGTTTCTTTACACAATTAGAAAAAGATTGTGTAGTAATATGAGCTTTTTCTCAATGCATATTGCATGCGGGAATACTGAGATTTCCAATTTCATTTAAAGTTTAATTCACTTGACGAATCTTGTAGAAAACAATACTAAAACTTGATGATTAGAAGGAAGTTTTTATCCCTTATTTAAACTTTTACATCACCGATTAAAATATATGTTTCTTAAAACTAGGCAATTGAAAGGAAAAACACAAATTATAACAGTCATAGCGATAATAAGCGCGTATCGCATGTATTAAACAAATATTGAAAAGTTTCGATACAAATCGGCATGGGTTATCGTAATCCTACCTACACAAAACTTTGTTTTCAATTATTTCAACATGATTCAAACAAATTAAAAGGCTAAAAGCAAACTTTAATTTTTCTGGGCTCAATAATACATATACTCATACATACGAATGTAGTTACTTACAGGGGCCGACGGCTTCATGGAAGCTGCCATTGTGTATGAAATCCGCGCGTGTACCACGCTTAATGCCGCCTTTTGGGCAGTTGTCAAGGCATGCAATGAAATAGATTAGAAGTTTATAATTTCAAGAGAGCTTAAACAAAGCAGCAATTCTAAAAAAAAAACAACACGTTTTACAATATTTTCTTCGCAGCCCCTAACTATACGAAATTTTCTTTGTTTAGAATACTTAAAGCGGGAGATTTTTACTCACGAACTTTCGGATGTCTGCTTTGTTCGTACAACTCTTTGGCAATTGTGGTTTGCTTTATTGACAAGTTACGGTGCGCAGGTAAGATTCCATTAATTATTTGAAGTCGCTTTCGGTGTTGCTGCGGTTGCCTTTTCATTTATCGTAAGTTCGAAAACAATTTTTTCAGGTACAGCAATGCAGAAAAAGAAAAAGATGATAGGGTGAACAATGTTTTATTTCAGTTTATACAGACCTGCTCAAAATAATAGATACGCTTTTCAGAAGACAGAATATATTTACTATAAAGGCAAAGAATGCTAAAACTTTCATGTTCTATAATTTATATTAGCCATACTCGATTCGCCATTTTTCTGCTTGTTATTTTTGGTCGTAGGTCTCTTGTAAAAAAAATGTATATAAGCAACATCAAAGTTAGAGGAAAGAAGTAATTTTCGACCCAAGACTGCGTTCACACGAGGATCCCTTTGTCGTTCATTATCGGCAATTTTCTTGTGATCTGGCTCATTACGTTCTTACGAGCGACAACTTGAGTCGGACAATTTACTGCATTCTCTCTTATATCACATTCTCAAAACCAAAAATACAATACAAAAGTCTAATATTGCTGTTAACAATTAAATTTAAATATCTCATTAATGCGTGGAACTTATTTATAGAATTCAAAAAAATAACGTTACTTATTAATAGAACGAAAACTCCTGTAATATTTATAAATTTGGCCAAATTTTGTAAAAATGTAGTGAAAACTGAGTTTTGAACGAAATGTAAACAATTTAATTAGTCTTTTGAACAAATAACAGTATTTCCAGATATTCGAGACGATAGACATTTTAACGATATTACTCAGGACCAATTCAATTTGAGAATTCGTTACTGCAGATTTTGAAAAAAGTTTATTGAGTATTTTTGGATTGAGATTATTATGATAATTATTTATACACAATTCGCTGAGAGCACTTTACCATTATGATAGTAATAAGGGTTGAGTTTTACACACAATTTCGGCCTGCCAAAATTCGTTTTTTAATTAAATATCGGCGGCTACATTTAAAAAGCTGTGACTCAAAAACGATTTGAGTTATCGATTAAGAATTTTAGCAGATTATTTATAAAGGTATAAACTATCGAAATATCCAAAAAAAAATTATTTACACTTATTGTGTCCCTTAAGTGGAATGGATTGCATTGCAAAAAAGTCAAAAATCCGAACTAATCAAAAGCTTCACTCACCGATTTACACTGTTCTTTCTACCGTCATCTTGTTGTAACTCCGTAATTTTCTTCGCTTTCAGGTATCTCACAATTCGCTTCAGAAATGTATAACTTAAGAATGATTTATGCATGTTCGTGAGTTTGATGCATGCAACTTAGCACAATTGGTCCGCCGCCCGCCACGCTGGAGTAAAGTAAAGAGGCGCTTCTCAACTTGGTAAGCAAAATATTGTGCTCATGTCACGACGTGACCTAAAAATTCATTTATTTTCGATGCAGTAAGTAGAAATAAGCAGTCAATTAGTTGAGGAAACAGAAGTATCAACGCTGTAATCAAACTGTTTTTGCGAAGTAATCGGCTAAATGTTTGCGAAGTGACTTCATCAAGTTGGCTCCAAAGCCTTGATAATTGTCGCAACTTTCAACTTTTATACCCTCATATACATGTGCAGACATTACAATACCATTTCACTCAAAATACGCAGACAAGGTACACAGGAACTAGGCGAATATTTATCACAATCATTTATCGCTTAATTGTCTTCTCTACTCTGCTGCTCAACTTGATTTCTCTCTATTTTAGTGTACAAATAGTTTTTTAATGTGAATTTGCGTTTATCTTTTTACTAACAATTAATCTAAAGCAAAGGCAATATTTCTCACCAAGGCCTTATGCTTTTTTAACCCAATTCTTCTAGCTTAAAAAAAAGAAGCAATAAATGGAAAAGTACATCAAAGAAAATAATGCAATCAGAGCTACTAATAATCCTTTAGTAAATATTAGTTAATTGAAGAATTGATTAAATTGATCAAAGGTGGGGAAGTTACAATTATGTTTAGTATCTTATTAACTTATATTATTGGTCGTAGACTTACTCTGTTTGAACGCTACATTTTGTCCGAAATATTTATATAAAATTGAACTTAATTAACTCAAATTAGATATAAACTCAACCAAAATCGCTAAATTTATTATATGAGGCATATGGGGGAAACATCAACCAGAGGATCGGAATTCAATATATTAGGAATTTAAGGCTTAGATTAAGGTCAATTTTATTTATATTCAGAGCTAAACCAATTTTTTTATTTTTATTTATTTAGAACAAGTAAGAAAGAGCTAAATTCGAGTGCAACCAAACATTTTATACTCTTGCAACTTTCAAAGATCAAAGCTGGGGAAATACATTCAAGTGTGGCAAACCTTCATATTAAACAAATAAGTAAGGGCTAAGTTCGGGTGTAGCCGAACATTTTATACACTTGCAACCTGTAGGGAACAAAGGCAGAGGAACACCTTCAGGTTGCGGCAAAACTTTATATCAAACTGAGGAAAGTATTGCTGTGTTACACTGTTATTAGAAAAAAATTATTTTCTGATAACTTCATTAACGTTTGATTTGTATACTGTAAAGTGAAAGAATCCGACGGAATTTAAAGTTTTGTTATATGGGAATTAGGCGTGGTTGTCATCTGATTTCGCCCATTTTTACAGTGTCTAATAGGAAATTTTGGGTAACCTCACACACCAATTGGGGTTGAAATCGGTTTAGTAGTACCTAATATATAGGATTTCACCTGAAGGTGGGCGGTGCCACGCTCCTTGTCCAATTTTCACACCAGATCCAAATAAGCTTTTCTTTAATTAATGGTTAAATACCTTGGATACCAAGTTTTTAAGATATCTCAATTTTTACTCAAATTATCGCTTGTACGGACAGACGGACGGGCGGACCGACAGTCACCCGAATTTCAACTCGTCTTGTCATCTTGATCATTTATATACAAGTATATATAACCTAATATCTATCTCGATGAGTTTTATTGTAGGTGATAAAAACATGTGATATATTATGATATTGGTAATGAGGGGCAATTGCGGTTTGAAATTTTTTTTAAATGGGTGTGGTCTCGCTCAGTAATGAGTTTAATGGAGATATCTCCCAAACTATTCAAGCTATAACATATCACCTAAATTTGCACAAGGCATATCATTTTGGCACCTGTTTCGACAGCATGAAAATAACTGAAATAGGATGATAACCTAGCCCATTTGCAATAAATCAATAACGAAATGGGTCAGAGACATTAAATTTTACATCTGAGATGTCACAAAAGGTCTTTATAGGAGCAGTTGTAAAAATTGGACAATGAGCGTGGCATCGCGCTTATTTAGGTGAAATCCTATATCTTAGGTACTACTAAACCGATTTCAATCAAGTTTGGTACATAAGATTATTTATATTACATGCCCATGTACCAGTGTGAAAATGGGCGAACCCCGACAGTAACCACGCCTACTTAGCCCTTTCTTACTTGGTTTTATTTACATACCTTCATTGGTGCTTGATTTATTGTATATACTGTAAAGTAAAAAAACAAATGGAATAGAAAATTTTGTTATATAGGAAGTAGGAGTGATTGTAGTCTAATTTCACCCATTTTTACACTGTAACTTTAGAATACTAGGCTTATGTTATGCACTAAATTTGGTTGAAATTGATCGAGAAGTTTGTTCTCAGAAGTTTGATTGATATAGCTTTAGTGATTTGTGAGACAAGTACTTTATACCTATTAGCTAACTTTTTTCTTAATTTTAAACCATTCAACAACGGCTGCCTCTGACTGACTTTATAAACTATATAATAGCAATCAAATTGTGAGACGCATTAATAAAACGAAGTGTGCATACATTCCCGTCGTATTGCTTTTATTTTTGATTAGAATCTGGTATTGAATACGGATGGAACTAAAGGTTTCTCTTTCCACTCTAAATAAAGAACTCCAATTCACGAAAATAACCTTTTACACTTTATAATACAAATATCGATAAAGATATCGATACAAAGCTTAGTACAAATAGGACCAACAACATGTGGCAACTTTCATCTAAAACTGGTCGAAATCGAACAGCAGAATGTTCACAAATATTTTCAATTAAATTTACAATATATGAGTTTAATAGTACCAAATATGGTAAATATAGTCTCCTCTATCCGTTATACCGCCAACAGAGTGATTCTGACCCGATTTGACGCGGTCTTGCATAAAACATCTACCGTATTTTAATTCAAATCTTAATTATCGCCTTCAAAATAGGCTCCTGAGTCAATACGAGTAAAAGCGTGCATGTTTAATAAACTTGTTCTAAGCCTCGTCTGGAATGGCCTGCAGTGCCTCCAGTGAATTTTGGTTTCGGCTCATTTTTGGAGCGTCATTCGCTAGATTGTTGGACAGTTGGGCCGATCCTCTGCTATCTCTCTGATGCCAACATGACAATTTTCAAGCACTGATTCTTTATTTTTTTCGATGTTATCGTCATTAACAGAGAAGAATAGTGCATGAGGCAAGTTCTCGATGACTTCACGACCTTCACTGAATGCCTTGTGCCACTCAAGTATTTGTATTCGTGATAAAGTAATTCGCCAAAACACTTATGCAACGTATTAAACGATTCCTCTGCCGTGGCTCCATTGGATACAGAAAATGTCAAGCAATCTCTGTGTTTAATTTTTTTCAATGGCAAAAATCGCACAGTTTATATGGTTCAGCCTGATCAATTAAGTTTGAACTCACTCGAGAGAAAATCTCATTGTAAACGAGAACTTATTTTCTGTTCGTCATAAGTAGAGCCTTCAATAATACACCTTCGTACTGAACAGTACAGTTTAAGTACAAGTAGGAGTATTTCATAGTACATTTGATAACAAATGTAAAGGTCAAATATTAAACTTCATTCCATATTCATGTTCCTTGTAAAAACTAGGTATATCTGTGGTAATATGCTAAACTTAATTAACTCGAATTAATTGTGTAGAACTGCCACTAAAATGTTGGGGCTGAGACATCTTTATTTTAAACGCAAACAATACATTTTTATTACAAAATCGATATACCGAATTGGTCTCAGAAAAAACTTAACTGCATTTCCATAAATTTTCCTCTTTTTGGAACTGCATAAACACCAGTTCGTAAGTAACGATGGTACCGGCCACCTGAAAATGTAAAATGAAATTCCTAATTAATGGTAAAGGTTTTTTCTTACCGTCAATACCAGTCCACGCGTTACATTGAAGTATTGCAGTCCGGTAAGCGCCACGTTGTCAACCGTTATCTCGTGCGCAAACCGATCTACTTCAGCATAATAACCTTCCTTCGGAACTTGTTTGATAACTCCTAGCGGCTCACGGGAGCGCTCATTGATTTCGGAGAGATACAATGAGACAGCCAAGGTGCGGCCCAAAAGAAAACTCAGCGAAGCATAAAAATAGATAAAATGAGATGTAGATGCCATTTTGCTGAAAAGGGAAAGAATTAAACAAAGAACTATCCAAGCTTTTTTGAAGTCATCTACTTCGCTATAATTGCAATTTTTTAACCTATCGTTTTTGTAAGTAAAAGGGAGAAAGAGGACAAAGTCTTATGTATGGATGTGCCTATAGAAACAGACAACTTGTCCACGGCTGAAAAAGAGGGAGAGTTGATGGCACCACTCGTGGTGAAAGCGGTTACTTCACCAAGTGATGTGACTACTTAATAGACCTTAGCCCAATCGACTACATAAATAAATGCATCCCAGTCGCTGAAGATTGTATATGAAGAATTAGTATATGGATCTTTCAATCATGGAGTCAAATAAACTCAAAATCATGTGTTAGAATTATTAGAATGTTTAACTTAAGAACCATTCATTCAATATTAAAACCCTGCTTAAGTTCTCCCCTGACCGTTTTTAATCCCAATTTATTGGGATAAAAACATTAATTTCCTTTCCGAGTAGCTCAACACTTTGCTGGAAGGCTACTTCTGTTACGCACTGTGCCGAAGCACTGGGCTAATATAAAAAAATCTGTATAAAACACATTCAACAGCGTCCTTATTCCTGCGAACGTAATCGATGGTGATAGATTTCTATCCATAAAAACAAAATGCAATTGAAAACTCTCATGGCAAGCTTTGGTAAATAGTCGAATTCGTATCCATCTAAATCACCGCCGATCGCTCGTCTGGCGCGGATATCTTACATATCAATGTTTATATGAATATAAACCGTACGGAAAATTGCTGATTGAGAGCTTTAAAAATACTAACTTGATGCTCCTGAGTAACTGGATGCAAACGAAAAAGAGATTATTTGCGAACGAGAGCATAGTTATGCCGGATACAGCAGAGTCTACTTGTTCTATGAGTTCACAAATAAGACGATATTGCAAGCGAGTACGCGTCCAGTAAGCTTCGGGCATCACCTGAAAGCGAAACGAAGTAAGTGAACACTTAAAGTTATACAATTTATACCAATCATGTTACCTGCCCCTTGATACGCTCCAAAGTGCTCTGCACTTGACCGAATAACGACGAAAGTCCTATGCCAATTATCATTAGAAAAACATCCATGTAATTCCAACCGAAAGTCATGAACACATTCAATATCTTTCCGAACCAAGCCAACCAAGTGGAATAATCAAAAACTAAAAATATGTGTGAGGAAACCGATGTGAAATACGATTCGACGGCATCGTCCTGTGTGGTGCAATGAATTGCAAAGTGAATGGCCGAAATGGTGCTCAAAAGATGCTCAGCTGAAAAGGATGATTTAATTAAACTGCTGAATAAATATTTCATCGAATCACGTACTCAGCGACAATGAGATCAGTACAAATGTGACCTTATGGACACGCACCGACAACGCCTCGCGCTCACGCCACGACTGATAGGGAGTCATCTGCAGCTCCACTCGCTGCCATTTTTGCATCAACTGTGGCCATTTTCCAGCCAGGCGTAGGAAGCCGATAGAAACTAAGAGAGCATTTACTTGGAATACCAATGGTGCTACATAGAATACATACAAATAACTGGGAATTCTAGTATCTTCAGCATCGTGTATACCATAAATATTAACTTACAAATGCTATCCACCTCTAATACACTTCTTATTGTCATATTCAGAGTTAGACCGGTGCTAGCGGTTGTTAGCAGTGTATATATTAAGCAATAGCAAGTGCGAAGATTTATCCAGCTGAACGATAATCCTTTCGTAGTAGCAGCGAGTATTCCACGAACCGGCATAAGACCGAAACACTGAGCAATGACAAGCACTGAAATGAAAAGAGCTGAGGTTATTTTTAAGCACAGCACTAAAGAATTTAAATCGCTAAAAAAAACCCAAATTCTAAAACAATAAGAATTTCTAAAAAATATCAACTGTACCTCAAAAGCTGCCCAATATTTCGCTAAATTAAGATTTCATCTAGCCAAAATAATCTTACCTGGAGCCATCGAAGAAAACTCGTCTTTGACCCTTTATTCTGAGAGTAAGGGAAAAGGATTCGAAATTCTCTTTTTCATGCTGTATTATGTTATACATGTATTTAAATTAATACAAAAAAATTTGTATTAACAATTTGATACATGGTGGCCACTGGGCCAATCTTTAGAATCAACTTGGGGCTGCAGAAAAGAATTAAAGAGCGTTTCTTAATGTAAAAAAGGATTGCCAGTAATTTCTTATTACATTTCTAGCTGTAGCAATTTTTCAAAATATTAAGACGAACTTGTACAAAAAGCTCTTTTTTTACCAGAAAAATATCAGTTAAAATTTCAAGAAAAACGCCAAACTGACTCACCGGAATGCTTTAGCACTACAGCGAATTTGACAATGAAAATTTCAGCAAAAACTGGAAAAGTTTTTAGGACAATGTAGTGTAAATAGTTGACCCAAATTTTTGAAAATTATATACCTAAATCTGAAATTAAAATACTTTTGAAATGTTTCGTAATCGAACCGACTGCTATGAAATACTCAAAAGCTTTTGTTATAATTAAAGTATAAAGAGCGACAAGACAATCAAGGATGAACCCATTTCAACCATAGTTTTCCATCCAATTATATATGGTAACAAGTAAGGAAGGGCTAAATTCGGATGATACTCTCGCAAAGTCAAATGGTACACTCGTTTGAGATTTTTTTTAAATACAATATTTCAATAATTAAAAGTACGAACTGTTGCCTCAGCTATTTACATTCACAGCGAAATTTATTAGAACAATTTGTAATCTAAATTTACTCAAATTATGAGAAATCGTTCTTGTGTTTTATTGTATACGCTTATAATTGATTTTATATAGAGTGCATTACAACTGTATTGAGGAGTATGAAAAGAAATCGTTTTTTGACAATGAATAAAATTTTATATATATTATATCGATATTATTATACATGTTTAGCTTAAAAATAATAAATATTAAAAACTTTAAAATTTATATTATTATATTAATATGTATATAATATTTACAATATTAAACATAAAAATTATAGAGATTCTTATAAATATATCCAAATTATATAATATTTCTTTCTCTTTATACTATTGAATTTCTATCATATATTTATACAATAATGTCTTATACAATAACAAATTATACATATAATTTAAATTTTCTTAATTAGATTCTTTACATATTTTCCTTAAAATTGTCTTAAAAACTACTGTTAAAATTGCTATACCATTATAGTTCGATTATATACATTGCTATATTTTAGTTCGCGTCAGCGAAAATTATATTTTAAAAAGAAAAACATCTAGAAATGAAATATACATATGTATGAATGTGATATTAACTCGACCAAAGTGGCTAAATTTTATTTTATATTGGCTAATGTGGAAAACGTCAACCAGAAAATAGGAATCCTTTATATGAAGGTGTGAGGATTAGACCAAGGTACATACTTGTATATATTAATTTCTTCAAATTCAGCGACAAGCCACATAGTTTTTAAGTAAACTACCCACTTAATTTTAATAAAATATCACATTTTGATCACCCGGAACCGTTTAAAGGCAGGTGGAAAGACGGAAATCATATATGTATTGGGGATAGAGAAAGGTATTAATTATGACATTGCTCAGCTACACTCGAGAACATATTTTGAAGCAAATTTATGTATAAAAAAAATATTAGTACACATTGACCGACATATTCGGCCTAAAGCTGGTTAGAATAACGATCATCATTATAAGTAATATATGGAAATTGAGGGTAGTATTAACCCGATCTTATCAATGTTTGGCAGTACCACATACTACTAACACGCCACCCGGAAGTTCAAAAAACGTTATATAAGGTTGCTCTTCATTCAATGCTTTATAAAAAGTGTTACAGTGATCGGATTTAGTTAAAATATGCGCCGTTTTGTTCGATGATCTGTTTCCATCTAGACGGCAACTTCATAATACCTTCCTTGTAGAAGCCCCCCTCCTTATTTGCGAAGAATTCGGACAGCCACTTTTCACAAGCCTCTTTTAAGTTCAACTTCACACCACCAAGGGCATTCGCCATGGACAGGAACAGGTGGTAATCACTTGGCGCTACGTCCGGGCTATATGGTGGATGCGATAAAACCTCCCATCCGAGCTCCCGTAGCTTCTGACGAGTCATCAACGAAGTGTGTGGTCTGGCGTTGTCCTGGTGGAACACTACACCCTTCCTGTTGGCCAATTCTGGACGCTTCTGGTCGATCGACTGCTTCAAGCGGTCCAGTTGTTCGCAGTAGATGGTAGAATTAAGCGTCTGGCCATATGGGAGCAGCTCATAGTGGATGATTCCCTTCCAATCCCACCAAACACACAGCAAAACCTTCCTGGCCGTCAATCCCGGCTTGGCCACTGTTTGGGACGATTCACCGGCCTTCGACCACGACCGTTTTCGCTTGATATTGTCGTATGTGATCCATTTTTCGTCGCCAGTCACCATCCGCTTCAAGAATGGGACGAGTTCGTTCCGTTTCAGCAACATATCGCAGGCGTTGATTCGGTCCAGAAGGTTTTTTTGCGTCAAATTATGCGGCACCCAAACATCAAACTTTTTTTTGTATCCAGCCTTCTGCAGATGGTTCAAAATGGTTTGGTGACTAACTCCCATCTCCTGGGCGATGTCACGAGATGCCATATGCCGGTCTAACTCGATGTATTCCATGATTTGTCGTCACAGGTCTTCCGCCGGCTGTCTTATCCATGGTGTCGTTTTCACCGGCTCTGAATCGTCGAAACCATTCCTCCGCGGTTCGAAGTGATAGAGTACCATCCCCCAAAACACCATTAATCTCACGGAACGTTTCTCTAGCGGATTTGCCTTTAACGAAGGAAAACTTTAAAATAGCGCGAATTTCGGCGTTAGTGAACTCCATGTTTACACGTCTATAACTGTTGAACGCAATATCCAAACTAATCATGCATAGCGTTGTTTTGTAGGTTATGTCAAGACCTTCAAATTATGTATAGTGTTGCCAGATACGAGCTCTGTAGCGCTTTGTACAGAGCCGCGAAATTCAAAAGACAAAAAGTGTATGAGGGCTATAGGAAGTATTGATCCGCTTCAGCCCATTTTCGACACAAAAACATTATACTACCGAGAGTTTTATTTATTTATTTTATTATATGAATTTCAAGTATATATCTTACACATTGACCGATATTTTCGGTAAAAAATTAACTATACGCACTGGGATTCACAAATTCAGCCCCTAGGGGCTTGAACAGTTTATGTTTGATTTAAACAATTTTTGGTCACAAGGTGCCATATTTTAAATGCATTATTTACGCAAAGTTTTATCCTGATACAATCATTGTTGCTTGATTTGCATTGTGGAAAGTGAAAGAATCACATATAATTTAAAATGGTGTTATATGGAAAACAGGCGTAGTTGTAACACGATTTCGCCCATTTTCGAACTGTAATATAGAAATATAAAAAGAATGGTATGTACCGAATTTGGTTTAAATCGGTTAAGCAGATCCCAAGATAGGGGTTTTCAGCTAAAAGTGGGCTAAAACGCACACTGTCTAATTTTGAACGCGGTTCCTTTAAAGTCATCTTATAGTGTTTAGTTTAGTGCCTGATTTATCGCGCTTTTTGTAGTTTTTAACAGTACCGTTATATAGGGAGTGTGCGGGGTGAACAAAACTATTTTACTCTGTAGCAACATGTTGCGAGAGTATAAAAATATTTATTCAATTGCATTGATAAGATGAACTACTTAATATTATATTATATAATATAGGTATCGCTCTAAAGTGGCTTCCAAAGCCAGCATCAGAAAATATGATTGAATTAAATTTAAAACATAAACTGGAAATTACAATATGGTCTTGACCATTAAAGAATTCAGGAAAAATTTCAGGCGGAAATATCTTCGGAAAGACTTGCACTCCTCAATTCAAAAACTAAACGATTTGGCATTTCGGCATTTTTGCATAGGAAAGGTATAAAGATTTCAACATTTCACCGATAACTATAAGACGCTCTCTATGCATATGAGCACTCTACACTCTATCTAAGTATCTTCCACCTTAATAACTATTTAATTATTTGTAAATATAATGAATGCATTTTTTTACCAACAAACTACAAAAAAGTCACAGTCCGATGTATTGAGAATATAGAGGTTAGGGGTAGAATTGATCTGACTTTATCCTTTTACGCATAAGGACACACTATTATAAGATAGAGGTGATATTTTCATGTCTTAAAGATATCTCACATATTGGCCGGTATATACGGTATAAAATCAACCGGAAGTTCGAAAGCCTTTACGTTAGGTACATGGGGGCTAGGGAAAGTATTTCCCCAATTTTATCCATTTTTAATACAAGGGTACCAAAAAGATCACAGCTATTTTTGGCAAAAAGTCTGCCATACGCAATGGGGTCCACATATTCGGTATTTGGGGGCTTGAGCAGCTATAGTAAATTTATAGACTTGATATGGCATACTTTAAAGATTCTATTTGTGCAAAATTTTATCCTGATATAATCAACGATGCTTGATTTGTATACCAAAAAGTAAAATAATTGTTAAATTTAGTATCTCTCGCACGTTTAGTTAGTGAGTTATCGCACTTTTAGTAGTTTTCAACACAACTGTTTTATGGAGAGTGGGCGGAGTTATAATCCGATGTCACTCATTTTCACACTGTCGGAGGTTGTACCAAAAGATTTTCCAGAGCAATTTTGGTTGATTTACCTTAATTTGTTTGGGAAATATATACAGTAAACATATTAGTCGGCGGGGTCACTCCCTTTTTATACCCCGAACAAGGTATATTAAGTGTGCCAGGATATGTCTAACACCCAGAGATAATTGTCAGTGACCTTATGATGTATATATGTATATAAATGATCAGCTCGTAGTGGATTAAGCCATGTCCGTCTGTCTGTCCGTCCGTCTGGATATATGAGAACTAGCCCCTCAGATTTTGAGGTATCAATATTGCCGGAACGACCAATATCGGACCATTATAGCATATAGTTGCCATAAAGAGATAACGATTGGAATCAAGTGCTTGTATAGAAAACTTTTTAATTTGAAGAGATATTTTCACGAAGGCCACGGTGCAATTTTCGAATAAATTGTTCAGATAGAGTCACTATAGTATAAATCTACCATACAAATTACAAATTAACCTTCAAAGTTGTTGTAATGAATATTTTGGATTTGTGAAGGGTATTATAAATATTAGCTTCGGTGCATCCGAAAGCGTTAACTTTTTCTTATTTTTCAAAAGGCAGACAGCCATTCGGGACTTAACTCGCCTTGTCATTCTGATCATTTATATATACACAACTCTATATCTATCTCAATTAGTTTTAAATCTTACAAACAGCTATTAGGTGTACATAACTATAATAATTTGTAGCAACATGTTGCGAGAGTATAATAACAATTCGGATGACATTGCAGCACTCAGAATTTGATTGATTGATGTAACAAATACCCCTCAATCTTACATC